CCGCTCGATCACACGGCCGCCCTCTGCTGATATTGGTCAAACTAGGCCTCAGAGAGAGAGAAAAATCGAATTAGAGCAGGTAGTTTCGTTAAGTGGATGAGGCCCCTCTCCCAGCTCTCACTAACGAACCTCGGGAGCCGCGTGAGCCCGATGAGCCCAGGTTGCCGGGCCCTGCATAAGAGTATCATTGCATCCCATTAGATTTCAATGTTTCGCTCTGTTAACCTGCGGCTACGATAATAACTGGAACATAACGGTCATTGACACCTCTGCCCATTACTTCCTATTTAATGTTCAATCATACTATCCATCTATAGGTCAATCGGATTCAGCAGGAAAGTGACAAAAACCTCTTTCAATCCTTTCTTTTTTTTCACACCTATAGGAAGTAATCGGACTCTTTTACCAGGGAAGGATTGCTTGAAGACTGCCTTAGTTATTTCGAAAATTTCTTTACTCCAATTAGTCTCGTACCCTTTCTCAAAGATACCTTTCGCTCGACTGATGCGTACATAGTCTCCAACCTTATATTTAAAGACCTCTTTACGAGGCTTGTCCGACTTGAAACGATTTTGTATATTACGCCATGAATTTTGTGCATTATCGATAGTTACAGCCGCAGGCGCCATCTTTATCGAAGAATGTTTTGAATAGTTATAAGAAGCAACAATCTGCTGCAATACATGCTTATATTTATAAGTCCGGTTATGCGTAAAATATCGCCACATTCGCTCTTTTAATGTACGGTTGAATCGTTCCACTATAGCAGCTTTAATGTCAGGATTACGCGCGACACGAAATTTTATTTCTTTATCTGAAAAAAATTTTTGAACACTGGCAGTTACGAATTCTTTCCCCTTGTCAGTTTGTATACAAGCAGGTATCCGACCGCCACTTCGCTCCAATATGCGCTTGAAACCCTCAAAGCACCTGAGGTGCCGATTTATCCTTCAAGGGTTCAACCCAGGCATACTTGCTCAAGACGTCAATAACGACAAGTAAATACGAAATACCATCATTATATGTTTTCAGAGATCTCAACTCAACCAAATCAGTCTCCCACACATCGTCAATGTTTGACACTGTATAATGCAAACGCGGAAACTTATGTCTAATGGGGCGGTGAAGTGTATACGCATTTTGAGCATTTAACCAGTTTTTTATTTCATTCTCAGGAATTTTATTTTTATATCGTGACAAAATATTTCTAGCCCCTGTATACGCTTCCGGGTGTGAAAGGTTGAAATACGTGTCCGATAATTTTTCATCATCATTTAAAATGGCAGCCATGATGAGACCGATTTCTCCTTTACGGAGTACGGTGAGGGTGTCCGCGATTTCTTCAAGCTTGTACGGGCCCGGTGTACAAAAGAGCTGCGTGGTGTGTTATCCTTTTGAGAATCACGCACATCTACAGAACTGTCTTCGTCTTCTGAAATTACTGGCTCATCCCG